CCCCAAAACCCCAAAACCCCAGGGTATGAGAATTTTAAGTAACTAATCAATATTTTCAATAAATTAATTCAAATATTTATATCTACAGTTTATATAGATGCTCAAAAATATACTATTAATTCGATAATGTTTTAACTATAAAAATCAGGGTCTAGTTGTCTAAAAATAATAGCCATCTTCTATTGAGATTAGTTCAGCATTTGCATTCTCGAGAGTTGCTTAGTGTTCTGCTTGTATTTCTGTTGCTAGTGTTAATAGAATTTTTAAGCTAAAAACTCACTCTTCTCTCTTCATTACTGCTATTTTCAATAATTTCTTGAGCTATGTCCATAAAGAGTTTGTTAACATTCGTACCATCTTAGGCACTTACTTCTATATATTTAAATTAGTTTTTATATTTCTTCAACTCCTTCTAGACTTATTCTTTTCTAAGAATTAGAGAGATGTCATCATTGCTAAAAAATATTTCATTAGTGTTCAAATCTAAAGCTGCTTTATTCATTGTTGGAGGATACTTAATGTTGCTGTCTCAGCATGTCACATTTATTACCAACAATCCAAATCAACAATTCTGCTGGTCCATATGTCCTCAGCATATGCATCCAATCTCTAAGACTGTCTCCATCTAAAGGTATAGTCAGATCTATCATTAATATAGCATGCAACGCATCTCGAAAGTACATGGGGGTAAGCGAGCGAAATCTCTCCTAACCAGTGGTATCCCATATCTACAAATTCACCTCCTGAACTATGGGAATTAATTTTTACTTCTTAGATATTGAAACGCTATTGTTGTGAATGAATTGACCATTCAAATTATCAGTTTAAGAAAATTTTTTCATTTGCTTCTATGGTATTCAGCAAGTCTCTCTTCCCTAGTAATTTTAGCCTATTTACTGCACTGTAAGTGAAGTACTCTTGCGCATTTATTGATCTGTCAACTAAATCTAGATCTTTTTAGTGTATTGACTTGATCCTATAGTAGGGGCAGGTCTTTTTGACTTCTCAGAGCCTCTACCACTCTCAGCTTGACTACTCTTGGTTGATGGCTGATTCATCTATCCTTACAATGTGGTATCATTCACAAATCTCCAAATTAAAGAAGTTTTGCCTACGTTTTAGTTACCAATTACTATTATTTTAGAGGGAAACTTAGATGGAATAAAAGCATATTATTAGCTTTCCATTATATTGTCAAGTTATATTATTTTATAATAATTCTTTTTACTATTTGTGAATATTTATAAAATTAAACAATATTTTCAACATAATACTAAGTTTATAGTAATACTCTTCAAATACCTCAGCATGACTCTATTATCTTATTTATCACTTCTTCTTATTCTTCTTGCCCTTCTTCTTCTTTTTGGGCTTAGCGAATGGATTCACGAATAGCAATTCATCTATCTTAGGGTAGTTCTTATCCCCGTCATATCTATCATCCTCTTCTGGTAGGACTATCGCTTTATGTATAATATCAGCACTAACATTCAAATTGTTCTTTGCCAAATGCTACTTTAAGTCCTCTACTTCTTGCATCTACTCTGTTCTGTAATCGTAATTTTCTGCTCTGAAAGGTGCTTTGAGTAAAGTTAAGATTCTAACATCATTTCTAGTGGCTACTTTAGGTTACTCTTCCTCTTCTTCTTCACCTCCTTTTGCAGCCTTCTTTTTATTTGGTGAAGCAGACTGTGCAGCCTTTTTCTTCTGCCCACCTCCGCCTTAGTTACCTATCTTAGCTCTTACTTTCTCTGCCTCTTAAAGTGCATAGGCTAGTCTCTTCTGATATTCCATATTAATTTTTGGGTTGAAGAGACCTTTTGCTTGGGTCATTGAGAACTACCTATAGTTGTCCTCAGGAAGTACGTTATTATACTCTACTATTGTGGATTAATTATTGTTTGGTCTACTAAATATAGAAAGAGTCATTGCCTCACTTCCCTTCTTCAAAGGATTGTCTATCTAATCATCAGCATTGTACTGTTGATTATTCCCATTTATGATACTAGAGTGCTACCATCTGAGTTATTCGATCTTTCTTCTTGAAGTCTCCTTGTGTAGTTCCAGTTTAATAAGTGACTGATTTAATTGATTAGCAGCCTGCTTGCTTAAGTTCCTGTGAAGGAATGATTCTCCCAGATCAGGAGCTAAGCCTCTCTTATTTAATTCCTGCTAGTAATCCTCAAAGCTTAGATCTATCATCTACTTCTCTTTTTAAGGTTACTGTGTGTAGTAACCCTAAGAAGTACTCCTTGCTTGAATAGGCTTTATGATTTATTATTGTATTTGAACTTTAGGCTTGCCATCGTCTCTAGAGAGATCTGATCTGCCATCCTAATCTGAGTCAGAATCCCCTCCGCTACTATAAGGAGATGATCTCTTTTTCAACTTTGAAGATTTGTCTTTCTTATTCTAATTTTTCAAAGACACTGATTGTTTAGTCTTTGATTCATCAGTTTCCATTTCACTTTCACTACTAGTGGGATCTTGAAGGAATTGCTATTCAGTCATGGCATAGTAGTAATACTTTTTCTATGTACTCCCAATAGCCTAGCTCTTAGTTCTGTTTTGAGATGTGGCTGCTAATTTCTAGAAATTGCTGCCATAGTTTGCTCTTTCAAAAGCCTATACTGCTTTCTAGCCTCTAATTGCTTGATTCTTGCCCCACTAAAGCCAAGCTTTCTTAATAGTTGTTTGATGCTTAGCATACTCTTTATCTTTAATATCCATTTTCTCCAGCATCTCTTCAAGTTCTGTTTCTTACAGTGGAGTTAAATAGGCTATTGATGGATCTGTATAGATTCCGCCAGTCCCACCATCTCTATTTAGATAACCTTAAAAGGTTGAAGGTTATTGCTATAGAATTGATACTGATTAATATGAGGCTTTGATTGGTGACATATTAGGTTCCTATTTGAATTATTTGCTTGATAAATCAAGAGCACTTTCAGCTCCCATTATTGTATTTCTTGATACAGTGAATTGCATCTGAGAAGTTTATCTCGTCTTTTCTGTCAGAGTTCTTTCTGATTGATCTCTTTTAGCACCAAGTGATTTTTAATCAAAAGGCCCTCCAATGCCTCCTTATTTCTATCCCTTTTTAATGGGAGGGAAGTATGTCATGGACTACTACTCCATCAAATTCTTCTTCATCTCCCTTCTCTTTTGCATTTACTCCTCCCTCATTTTCTAAGCCAAAGATGACTCTTTACTTTCAAGAGCATCTGACTTGGCATTAAACCAGTTATACAAGCGATTGAGTTAATTTTGCTGTAGAGACCTATCCTCAGTTATAATAACGCATCTCAATAGTTTTTTTAGTGCTTCAAATAATGTCTTTTTTAGGTTCAAGTTATCAATTCGCACTGACTGTGGATCTATGTTATACTTATTCAGCCGCTTATAGAAGTTCACAAGTTTGCCTCTAAGTTGAATGAACACTGGGTTCTAATCAAGTATTGGAGATTGAAGGTTATCTAAATTGAGTTCTTTTAGTTCCTCATTCGTGCACATGTACTCATCATTCTCATCATCAATTTGAACGTTGTTCAATTTCGCGTCTTGCTCTTTCATTACCTAATCAAATAACTGACTTCCATTTCCCCTTGTATTCTATGACTGAATAGTCATTTATGTGCCTACACCCTAAACGCTGAGTGCTTTATTCATTTTATTATCTGCTTATATTATATATTTTATTTTATTTTCCCCTTTAAATCTAATCTACTTTCAATTATTCGCTTTCTTCAGTATTTCACCACTATGGGGTTTTGGGGTTTTGGGG